GGACGTGGGCACCGTGTTCTTCCTTGTTTAGTCCTTTATTTTGGGCAGCAGCTAATGTTTGTACAGGTAAGAGCATGAGACGGGCTGTACTGCTCTGCAGGATCTCAGGCAAGAAAGTGATTACACGCCGATCCGTGGTTTTCCACTGACCTGATAGGTCTGTTCCCTGTCAATGCGATTTAAACATTGCTTCCCTTGCCGTGTTGGGTAGACCTGTTGACTTCAGTAGCATGCAATAGGATGTTTTAGCAAGTTAAGAAGTAAGTCGCAAGTTATGTTCTTTCCTGTTTTTATGCTAACTGCCTTTTAATTGCATGTGTTACTCTAAAAGAAAGTATCACAAACTGACCACCCTTTCTTATCAACCAGTGGACTATAATATGGAAGCTGATCACACAACAATAGCTGAACTGGTAGCAAAGTTCATAGTCAGGAGCTGGCACAGGAGCAGATGTCACAGCTCTTCACGCATCTTGCTGCTCTGCTTCTCTGTCAGCCTGAAGGCAGCTCTTCAAACTTTCTTTTTGTGTTCCCATCTAAGTGCTACTGTCTTCCCATCTAAGTTCTACTTTATTGAGAAACATTGGTTTAGAATACTTTTTAAAATGTCTCAAGTATAGTTTTTAAAGTGTCTCTTTGGCGATCAGAAGCTAGCAGGATGTTTTCACAGGTACCTAAATACCTTCCACAATTGTTTGTCCAGCAAAGTGTCAGCTCCTCCCTTTCTGGGAGCAGTAACTTCTGGTATGGATACTTGTTGGCTAGGACTGCTCACCTAGCATCTCTCTGTCATTCTTCAAAGCTGCCACTCATCTACTATTTTTTCAGGACTCTAGGTAACCAGTGCTCAACTTTCCGTGCCCTACTTTCTTACTGCAACCTACTTATTATTGTAATCTTCATGGCTTCAGTGTTCTGAAGGGGTCACAGGTGACTTTTGAACAAAAAGCCATTGAGAACTACTTGTCCTCCTGTACTCATTTTCTTACACCTTTGGGGACAAGGAGCAAGCTAGCCGTAAAGAAGTTCTGGACTGGATTTTCAACAGAAGATTCGGTTTCTGTGTTTATTTCTTTACTCAGAACTTTTGACATTTTAAAGTCTATAAATAAAAAAATTGACAATTATTTTGCAGTAAAATAGTGTGTGCTTGTTAGGTGTTGTTAAGGTGGGGAAAATGTTTACATCAGTTCAAACACCAGTGATCCTTAGACATCATTGAACTTTGTCTTTTAAATACAGCAAGTGTGTTTATCCATCAGTCCTTTATTTGGTGGTTCAGAGGTTCATCACCTATTGTCTTATATCCTGCTCCAGTAAGCATCATCAGCCTCAAATGTAGCAGCTGTTCAACAGATACCAAAACAGCTTTTTCTATAACAGTTAGAATAAGGGGAACAGAATGTATACAGAGCCTTAAATGTATACTATTTGCATACACAGATACAGCATATAAGGCATGCAAGATGTATATCACTAACTGTAATATGTTTCAAGAGTGTGTTTTAGTAGATGGGGATATGGCTGATAGTAGATGGTCTGAGCTAGCCTAATGCAGAAGGTCTTTCAGTCCTTCCTGATTGGTCTTAGATTTGAGGTTCTCACTGAGCTGTTGTAAGATGAAATTAATTCTAGAAGTATGTTCTGAAATTGTGAAAAAATACATTAATTAGAACAGCTTTAAGATGTTTGAGTGATACAAACAAATTCATAACTAGTAATCATTCCTTCAATACCCTGTGAAGTGTAATGCTGCATTTATCACAGCAAAGTGATAAATGATGCTTGTGAAAATCTTTCAGAGCCTGTATTTACTTTTTTTTTTCCTAAAAAAAGGTAATTCTTAGAGAGGTCCAGCATTTTTATACATTTCCCTCTCAGAATGTGTCTGGAATGCAGAGTAGCAGCACTGATATATCAAGGTTAATAAAAACTTGGGAGATTCTGCTTAAGTCAAGGTATTTGAATCATCACATTTCTGTCATGAACAAGAGCAGTGTTCAGTGTAAATTCTGCCTTTTCTGTAAGTGTCTCTTCCATGATCTGTTGCTTGGCCATCTTAACCTACATTAAAATAGATTAATGGAATCTTAACAAAAATTCATTTTAGTTTATTGTGACATTGTAAGAAAATATTTAATGTTTGCCTTCACTTCACTTTTTAAGTTTAACATGGATCTGGTTATTAAAAGTTGCATGTACACTTGAGCTAGGAGTCTAATGTGTGCACATGTGCTTCTGTTCTTGTCAAACTGTATCTCAGACTCTCTGTATATTTAGAAACAGTAGGAAATTGCTGAAAGAAGACCTCAGATATAGATGAAAAGTAATGAACAGCCTCTGTGAGTGTGTTTCATAGTCTTTGATTATTCCAAAAACAAGGCAGAAAAGAGGAAGGTAGAAATGGGAAAAACACAAAATTCTGTATGGCTCAATAAGCTGAACTTCCTTTCAGGCAGCCTTTATTGAGGACCTCAGAGTTTCTTTAGTTAGTGAAAACTAAATAAAAATAAAATTGTCGAAAGAGTTGCAAAATCAGACATTTGGACTGTGGAAGAACAGAGATTCTTTTAATATTGGTTTCAAGTTTTGTTCCCCAGCTTCCTTGTCAGTAAGCACTGTGCACTTTAGCACTGTGGGCAGACATAGCCCTCGCACAGTGCTTGAGTTGAGTGTGTAGATGTAAAATAGATTTTTTTTTCATATAGCTAGCACAAGGGGGTAGAAACAGAAGCAGGTAGAAAGAAAGAAGCGTTGGAGGACCTTTGGAGAAAACATGGTGAAAAGAGAAGACTTTGGAAACAGATTAGTGAAGACCCGAGAGACATCAAAACACAGCAAGGCACAAAGAGAGAATATTTGTCTTATCATTCTTGTTATCTTAATATAGGTCTCCCTTTTGCAAGGAGGTTGACTCAGTTCTGTGAAAAGCTCATTTGCACTGGTAGTACTGATCTTCCCACACAGAATAATTTAAGGGAGTGTTGTGTTTTAGGGCTGGGCTGGTCACTAAATCCTGGACAGATGCTCTCTATTACCCGCTCTCCCTCCCTCAAAGGGAAGAGAAAAGGGAATAAGGGAGAGATACTGACGGGCCGGAAAAGAAAACTAAAAGGTTTAATTAAACAATAATACCAATACTACAGGATAATAATGTAAATAGGAAAATCATGAAATATATACAGATATATACATATATATATATATAAAACCAATATAAAATCCTCCCCCCAATGACGATTATGTCACCAGAAGCTCTGCAGAGCAGGGCACTGGAAAAATCCCAGTCCGGACCCAGCAGCAGGTGGAAGCAGGATGCAGGAACTGGATTCAGGAACACACAGATCAGGATCGGAGGCAGACAAACTAGCAGGGTTCTGCTCGGACTTCGGCCATTGCAGAAGAAGAGCAGAGGGCAGAGAAAGGGGCGAGACCCTTGTGGTCCCTCAGCTTTATATTGAGTGTGATGTATGTGGGATGGAATACCTTGTTGGTCAGTTTTGAGTCATCTGTCCTGTCTCTCCTGCTCCTCTCGCCAGGTGTGGATACAGCACCCATGGTGATACAGTGGCCTTGTCATTTTTACATAACGTACAAGTATTATCACTTGTAGAAGTGAACGCTGTCTGAAAAAAACATGCTGTTAGTTTCAGCAAGTTCAGCCACTTAGAAGAGTCTAAGCTGAAAAGTAAAATCACTAAACAGAAAATTAAGAAAACATCAGAGACCATTTGCAAATAAAGCATTAGTCTCCTCTATAGTGAAGAGACTACTTACAGACTTCTGGGTTGCAAGAGGAAAGTATGTGTGGTTTCAGCAGGTGACTGAATTGTATGTTTTTGTGGTCTCTACAGATTTTTCAGACACACAGAGCTTAAGAATCACAAATTGAAATGAGTAACGAAGAGGCCGATACGCTATGTTGCTGGAGTTGCAGAAAATACATAGCAAATTCTGTTTGCCTTGCAAAATGTCATGGAAAAGAAGTAAGTATAGCATCTGGAGAGGGTTTGCAACTTTTTCTAGTGCCGTTGGTTTAAATAAAGAAGTATTAGACTTGCCTTCACTTAGTAATTAATCTCCTGTGGAGATGAGTACAAAATACGGAGTTTCCTAGAGAGTATTGTAAGCAGTAGTGCTACTGAAGCCAAGTAGGCAGTAATCACCTTTATGTTCTGAGACATGAAGGCTGGTATTCATGATACATTTAACTACTAAATTGTGTATATAGTGTTACTATTTTTCATCCAAAAATGAGCTCTTTTTCACAGTTTTAGTGCAGTCATTTTTTGTTTTAGTATCTCTTAACAGAGAACTGTTTGATGCTGAGGTGTGTTTTAAATACTGACACTAATTTCCACTGTGGTTGTTAACTGTGTGTCAAATATTGCTACATCAGAAACTTTTAGTCTTCATTTTGAAAAAGTTGAGGACAGTCTGCACACAAAAATAGTTCAGAAGATTAGCCTGCCCAGAGGTGGGGTGTTGCCCTGCCAGGCTAAAATACCACTTCGAAATTTACATCATCTTTATTAAAGTAAATGGAAAAATAATATGGAATAAGACAATGAGAGAGTATTTCCTGCTGCTTTATAATGGCAGTTAGTAATCATGAAGAGTTATACTTTTTCCAAATGTGCCAAGAAGACTGTGCTTGCATCCTATGATCTTGAATCAAAGCAAAAAAGCAAATATAAGGGAAGGTGTTGATCCTTTTAATTAATGCACTAGAAATAGAACAGCATTCTTTTTTGGCACTGGAGAAGAGTATAACCAATAGAGGTAGGACCAAAGTTATTATTTTTTAAGATCCTGATATAATTATTAATAAATCCCATTTTAATCTCTCCCTTGCAGAGTTTTAGGTTCTGGAATATTTTTCATGCTTTATACTTGAGGGGTTTTTATTTTGTGCATGGTTTGAAGCATTTTTCTGGGGGTGTGTATGGAAATTCCAACTCATTTCATGGCAAAAATGTAGTGAAAAGAAAAAGCTATCTTTGCCCATACACTATGTTGGAGCTTTTAATGACTAGTGGAGATCTATCTTCACTGTGCAGAAGACTGAATGAACTCCTTCTCTAATTATGTAGATAGCAGATAAAACCCCATAATTTGACTCTACTTTCTAAGACATTGGGCAGCAAAGTAATGTTTCCAGTATGTGGGCTTTCCCTGATGAACTTCAAACCTTCAGACAAAGACATAGCTGAAATATGAGTAAAAGAGGAAGATCTTAGAACAAGTCTTAAAACCAAATGTTGACGTTATGAATGCAGTAGATACAATTATGTCAGAATTATATCCAAGCTGAAGTACAGGTACTTTCCACAGATAGGAGGAAGGCAATAGCATACACATGGCAAACAGATCTGTCTGCTGTCATTACTTGGAGAATTTCTGAAAACTTCTGTCTTCTGTGTATAGCCCCACTTTCAATTTTCAGCATAATTAAACTTTTATTCCCATGTGTTTCCTAACATAGAAGTCCGTGATTTTCCATATTCTTGAATTTTAACAGCTGATTTTAAGACTTTAACACTCACCAGAATTTCCTTGTATTTTTAGCAATCTTTATAACTTTACTGACATACTAAACCATATTAAAAGTTTTAATTACACTTGTATCACTTCTGTGCTAAAAAGTAGTTAGGTAATTGTTTTTAATTCAGTATCAGTAAAATGCTACAGTTTTTTAAATTTTGTTTTCTATTCAGTTGGTCATCTCATTGCAGTAAAAATTCAGAAGTTGCTAAGACTTCCTGGTTTATCAGTTTAAAACTATTTGTGGCATAGTTATGCAATACTGACCACAGTCTTCATATAAACTAGAACTTAAATTTTCCCATCTTTACTGGAAAATTATGCCAGCTGATAGTGCTTCTGAAATCAATTTCCAGATAAGCTTGGAAGATAAACAATTGCATCCTTTCTGTTCTTGTAAACAACATAAAACCACCTCCAAATGCCTTCATCTCCCTATTGGAGTCTGTTCAATCTCCTTAGATTCAGAAACAAAGAATTATTGACAGCACCTACCTGATTTTTAGCTTAAAGAATGCACCAACATATTTGAGTTTTATCATTTGTTAAAATATTTTCTGAATTTTTGAAGCTGACTTCTGGCAGTATTCAGACAAAAATAAGCTTACATGAATGTTGAATATCAGTGCAATACTTTTTTCAACAGATATCACAACCTTTAGATGCTGCTCAGCAGTCTTGCAACATATGCCATGTGAACTTAGACACCATTCCAGAGTGGGTGAAATGCGTCATTGAAAAGGTAGATCTTTTTTGCTTACATCTTTATCATTCAACAAAATGTGAAATATATGATGGGAACTAATTTCAAGGGCACTTTTTTGCTAAGGTCCACATAAATTACAGAGCTCTTCTAAGTGAGGGATGTTTTTGAAGTAACTTTTATCAGTACCATTTACAGAGGGTTTTTTTCCCTCTTAATTTTTTTTTTTACATATGCACAAATACTACAAGTGATAAATTCTGTTCCTGCCCACTTATAGGTGAATGTATTTATGTTTGTCCAAATAACTGTCATGGGCACCTCTGCATATTTTGTAAATGCTTAAAATTGTATTAATTATCTTGGTTTTGGGTTTTGGTTTGCATTGGTCATTTTATCTTGCAGTACTAATGTATATGTTTACAGTGACAATAAGAAGCATGTTTCTCCATAAAACTGGACTTGGGGTTTGGTAAGAGAAGAGTTGTTGGAATATGATGTGATAACTTTTATATTTAATGTGCTATTATGCCACATGAATAGCAAGTAGTTACCTTCCTGCAAATTCAAAGGTCTGATGACAAGCCAGTGTCACTGCTTTTAAATTCTAACTGCCTATTTGAAGTTACAAACCATCTCACAATTTTCCTGTTGTACTGATTCTTTCAGCTAGGTATTTTCGTTCAGTTATTTTAGGTCTAAAAGTTAATGTTGTTGCATAGATACAATGAGCAGAAACAGTGGTTTTCTTTTGCCGTACATTTTTTCTCTGATGAGTCTTTAATTTCGAGACATGAATGATATCTGCGTTCCTTTCTGCTTAGACTTCAGTATCTCCGTTTTACTATGTTACAAGGAACTTCTGATCTAAGCAAATCTACCCTGAAAATGATACACTAAGAAAAAAATGTTACGGCTATTTGTTTCATTTTTCTTCATTGTTTTGCTCTACATTTTATTTTGTTAAACATTAATTAAACTTTTTAAAATGAATGATCTCTTATACTTCAATAGTGCTTGATAGAATAGTGTATCTGTTTCAGAAACACTAATCGTGGGCGATATGTGTGAAAACTAGGGGTGATGAGGTATATCCTCACTTTACAGAATTGCCTAATCTTGAATGTCTAATCATAAGGATGCAGTTTTTTACTTTGCATATTATTTCAGTAAAAATGGATTAAATATTGATACTAATTTTATTATTTTCACCTTTAGCTGCAAATGGCCAACCTTCTGCATTTGAAAGACTAGGAACCTGGGAAATACAAAACCCATAAACTGCTCAGAAAAGGGTTAACATATTTGCTCAAGATTGCAGATGAGAAATGCTCCTCTGGTGGCAGAGGCAAAGAATACAATTCTCTGTGAATACCTTCAGTCAGTATCTTAGGATTCATTTTGTCCTTTAATATCCTGAGAACTCTTGCCTCATTCACTTCTGACTTCTTTGGAAAGATCCTGTGGGTTTACGGATAAATGTGTGGGGTTTTTAAACAGTTCTAACTTAATCCTAGATTCTCCTGGGCTCTGAATAATTTTGTGATCATGTGTTATTTTCTCCTGTATGACTCCTGAATCAAAGGCTAAATCATTTTACATAAGCACAAAGTCTATTTGCAGGCTGTAAAAAACCACTGCTTCCCAGCTGGTTCTTTTTCACCATCTGTCCCTGTTCTTAACCAATCTCACTGGGTTTCATGCACATATTAGTGTATAGATAATCTTCAATAATTATAAATATCTAGCTAGTGCTGCTAGTGACCTTTATTGACCTGCATTTTATTTTCCCCATCACTCCTCACTTGTTTTAGCTTCCTGGTTTTTCCTCTTTATACAGTCTGTCATTAAATCTGTGTACTCTCAGCTCCTTTTCAGATCTTGCTAATTTTCCCCCTACCACCTCCTCCATTAGTAGGCTGTTGCTTCTTTTACTGAGTCAATGCTTCCACAGTCCATTGCCAAGCTCATGCTAAATCAGTCCCAGGCTCCCTTGTACTGCACCTCCTCTCCCAGTCTCTGTGCACACAGGACATAGAGATGTCCTTTTTCTTCCCTACTGTCTCTTGCATTCCCCTTTCTGACAGGCTCCTAGCGTTCTTCCCTAATCTTTGTGAGTCACTCCTCCTCTCCATTTGGATATCCATGGTGTTATTCCATAGTGCCTGAGTGCTAGAAGGACTCAGTAAAGGCACTAGAAAGTGCTTTTCCCTGAATTTTGTGCGTAGCCCGTGGCATCTGGAAAACGGAGCGTGGGAGTGCATAGTAAATCTCTGAACCAGCTTAATTCGTTTTTGGGAATGGCATATGCAGAAGTTGGTCAGACTTATAAACAGAGAGACTCTGCATGTTCAAGGAATTTTCAGGGATTTGGAAGCCCTTGGGCATATGTAAACTGACTTGTTTTTTCTAAGTTAAAAAACATGTCCAGATTTAAACAGATTCGCATAGGTACGACGAAAGACACATCTTCAATGCTTTGTGTAATTTTGAGGTTTTAACCCACAAGACAGGAGAAAGTGTCTCAAAGAAATGTTTCTAGAACTGTTTATAGCATTGCATATGAAAATAACATCTTTTTTTTCACACAAGTTTTTTTTCTGAAATTGCAAAGTTGGTTTTATTGAAACTTTCTGAAGCTTTCAATCAGACAAGCATGAGTCATGGAATCACCTTCCCAGACTACCTTGCTGTCTTCATTTAGACAGTTGTTCTGTTACCCAATGAGCTCTGCCCACCTGAGGAGGGGAATCGGGAAAAGGAAAGGAGATCCGTGGGTTGAAATAAAAACAGATCTAATAAAATAATAATAAGACACTACTGTTAAAACCAATATTAGTATAAAATACACAAAGTTATACTCAGCCTGTACTGTGGTCATGAGACTGATTCCAAGAAAGCTGGAAAATAAGTTCAAACTTCAAGACTCCTCTTTGAGTTTTAGAAAGCGGGTATTCTTTATTATGCGCAGGGAGTCCCCAGGATCATCCCTTGGGAGAACTCCAATTTCCCCTTACAAAGTGATTGTTTATATGCTACCTATTCATACATATTCATTAGATATCTGAGAGCTCCTTAATACGAAGCGGGGATTCCTCCAAAAACCATTAACATACAACCCCTCCTATCTGGGCATGCACCCTACGACTCTGGTGGTCTTTGGGTGGTTATGGGAAGGAAGGCTCATAGTCTTCAGGAGGAAGGCTTTTTGTCTTCATCACTGTAAACTTTTCACCTTTCTCCGAGAAGCAAATGTATTTTGTCACTTATTCTGCTAATTGGGCATTATCAGCACTATTTCTCGAAACATCTTTGGCTACACAAACACAGGATACCTACATTTCATCCCTGGACATTCCTAGATGGGGTTAGTAGGACAGACAAAGAGGTTTCCGTTCAATAGGGGGATACCATTTTATCTTCAAATAATGTGCTTGGGCCTTCTGCTTATCTGTGGGATTGCTGAGTCTGCAACTGAGTTTCAAAAAGGTCCTACGAGCAGCAATTTTAACCACTTTCTCAAGAAGTTTGCTCACAGCAGTAAATGCTAAATAACAAACACTGTGAGCACTGCAGCTCCAGTGAAAGCGCAATGGTCACAATGAGTTGGGGCGTAGGCCTTGGGAGCAGAATGACAGGCAAGACCCTCTAGGTCTACTGACCATCAAGGAAAGAGAGCCATCCCCCAGCACACTCCCCAGTTTATAGTGAGCATGACTTTTATGATACGGAATAATCTTTCTGGCCAGTTTGGGTCCTCTGCTGTGGCTTTCACTCCTATTAGCTTCTGCACCTGGCTAACTCAAAACTGCTGAAGACCTTGATCACTACGGCAACCTGCATCCCAGCACTGGCCAAAAGCTTCAAAAAAGTGTGCTATCAACTTTGTTCCCATCCACTCCGAGTGCAGTAGTCTTCTCAAAAATGCAGCTTTCCTGAATAGGAAATTGGTTATGTGATTCTATCCCAGCAAAACCAGGACTCTTGCAAAGACATCTGCAACTGAAAGCAATGCTTTAACTAGAAGTGTTGGACAGCTTCTGTATTCATGGCTCAACCCCACTCTAGGCACACTAGTAAGTAATGTGTGAATGGAGTTGATAATGTTTTTCTCATTTGGACTTTGATCCTACAAACACTTGCATAACTTTAATCCTCAAAAATATTTCTGCTGACAGATTAATATATATACTGAAAGTACTGATAGTTGTGCAAATAAGTAGGCATTTGTAGATCTTTGATATGTTTTTTCTTTTGAAAAAATGACTTTAGGATTGAAATTAAATTCATAGAATTACAAATAATGAAAATAACTGTCTCATAATAGCAAGAGTGTTAAGGATGTTTATGGTATCTGCACACGGATTATGTTGTAATAATACATGCTCCAAAATAAAAGTACCATTTCAAGCTTTTTTGGAGAAAGCAAAGTAAAAAACTTTATTCTCTTTGTAAGAAATCTCTTTTCACTGTACTTAGTATGCAAGAAATGTATCAGCACTCAGAAGACTCAGCTGAGAAACTATGCTTGCCAATTTGAGATTAACATGGTAAATTGATTTCACTGCTTTAAAGGATCTAATGTTTTCATTAGTATTGCAGCATTGTTTTATGTATGGCCAAATTTTAAATGTATTTCAAAGCCCCTACATTTTGAAATGCATGTTCTAGATTTCTTAGAATTAGTTATCTCTACAGCAAGCAGAGTTTTTACCAGAATGTTATTTATGGTGGATTTTCTTTCTGCTGTGAAGTTTCGTCTCTTGTTTTTGAAAAAGAGTAAAGACTTTTATTAAAGGAGAAAAGTAACTCCAGTAATGATTTCTTAATCATTTATTTTCAATGAATGTATTGGGTGTTCTGGTTTTTTTCTTTTCTTGTCAATAGGCACAGTGGACAATTGGAAAACTGCACTGTCCGTTCTGTGAGGCCTGCTTAGGGGGCTTTAACTTTGTTTGCAACACAAAATGTTCCTGTGGACAGTTAGTCAATATACATTTCTGCAAAAGTCGCACTGACTATCAGCCAGCTTTCTCAGTTAATTTGGCAAAATCATCAGGAAAACACTTACCTCTCCTCAAAATTCAGTCTGGTTTTAGCAAAGATACCTGGCATGAAGTGGTAACTGCAACTTTGGAAATCAGAAATCAAGGACTTTCATACATGGCTAGAAATAATAATGGTACTGAAAGATTAACAGAAGCACTTTGTCTAGAAGTAAGAGCTCCCAGATTTGAGATGAAAAGTAAAAAACTTCCAAAAAAGGCATTAAATAAAAAAAAAAATCATTCTGCTTTGTATCCTGTGAATGACACATACTCCGTAAGACCTTTTCACAGAAGATCACGTAGTTTGGATTTAAATATCAGAGAGAAACTTGTTTTGTCACCTACATTGTATGAAACTTGCAGTATGGGAACAATTTACTGTGGCCAAAATGATTACACACGAAGTGGCTTGCAATTAGAGTCCAGTGGGAGAGATGATAGCGCTTTTCAGGACCAATACAGTTCCAGCACTGACCAACTACAAAAAAGGTTTTGCATTACTTCCTTTACCAAATTAGTACACGGAGAAACAGAAAGTGAGTGTGATTTTAAAGCTATAGGACAATCTTGTGGGAATGCTGCTGCTGCTGGATCACCTTTGATGTTGAACCTTTCTACAAGTGCTGTAGAAGAGGAACAATACCTCACACCTGTTGGCCCTGTGCAGCCTACCAGTATTTCCTTCACTCAAAAGCTGAATAAGAGAGAAAGAAACAAGTTGAAAAGCTTAAGGAGAAAACAAAGAAGACAAGAACAATGGCTACAGAAGCAAGTAGGTGTTCAATTATACTACTGTTTTGTAAAGTTTGACTTGCTTTTATTAATAGTTCTTAGGGTTTTTTTATGCTGTCTCTTAATAATGGTTTAACATAGTATTGTCTAGAGTCAGGCATCCTGGAAACAAGGACCTATGACCCTTTCCTACATGTAGTTTTTCTAATTATACCTGATCATTTTTTTTCTGTGTAAAATCAAACCTATATAGCTTGTTTCTGTTTGCTTTCTTATAGTTTTCTTATTTAATAATAAATTTGAAGTGGGAAAAAATACAGTAAAATTTAATCAGTGTGATTAAAGGAAAACTAAATGTTCAGATCTTCTAAATGAGAAGCCCTAGCATTTCAGGATTTCCTAGCTTTTAAGTAATGGCATTTTGGGTTAACTTTACAGTTAAGAAAAATTTATGTTTTAAAAGATGTCTCCATTTATTAATTATCATAACACAAATATTTTTCTTTGAGTAAAGAATTGATTGTTACTATTTAAAATATTGGTCTTTGATAGGTAAATATTTTGTCTACAAATCTAACGGAAATGTTATTATCAATATGTTCTTATCAATTATACAAATATGGTTTCCTTCTTCAAACTATCTAAAACAGAACAGAATTAAAGACCATAGATGGCTGTGCAATTTTTGTGTGTGGGAGAAAGACCAGGAATATATCTTGAAATAAATAATACAGTCTTTGTTGGCCCTGAAATTCAATAGAAAGGCTAATTATAAATAAGCCTTTAAAAGAAAACTTCTCATCATAAAATTCCTGCTACAAAATATTGTGTCACTGGCAAGAATAAACATACTAATTCTCGTCAGGGAAGCAGTATCTACTCAATAAATCATTCCCTCTTTGGGTAAATATGTTACTATGATAATCTTAGAATATTCCATAGCTGAAGTGTAGTGACATATAAAGCTCATGTAAACCTTATTTCACAGATTTTTTTATAATATGATTACTTTGCGTTTTATCACAGTCAAGTCTAGTTTTAATATTTGTGCCTTATTGAGAAATATTAAACTTACTTGAATGGACTGTGCTTCAATTAGATATTAAATTGTTTTCATTGATTTGTATTTAATGCAATAGAATATATAGGACCAATAGTTCATGTATGGATATTTCATTGTCCTAATGAATAGGATACTTAAATGTACCTAAATGATTTTTGACCCTTAATACTCTGCTATCCTTATACAGTTCCATTTCTCTCTGGCACCAAGTAACTTTGAGCTTTCCTTCAAACAGTCGACAGAGCCTTTAGAATATTGTACCGAATTGAAGCAGAGCAGTGAATTCAGCATCAAGAGAGATATACATAGAGGCTGTCTCTTTCAATTAAATGTAAGAACCAGCATGAAAAGGAGATTAGTCTGGAACATATTATGAGACTTTTCAGTATGGCGTGCATATATTCTTTCATCTTTGGGAAGGTTGTTTTGATTTATTTAAAGGAAGATTTAAATTGGTATTGTGATGTTTTGAAAACTTGTTCTTGTAAAATGCTTCTCTGAAACTGAAAGTAGAGAACCTTTCCAAGATCTGGGTGTCTTAATATTGCATACTTGCTTTCTAATAAGTCTAAAGATTCTTTGGTGTCCAGGGCCCTAAAATGGCTTTAAAAATTCCAGGCCTCATTGTTTCTGTTAAATGAAATGACGATGTGAAAGCACAGTATATATGAACATTTGCACAGTTGTGTCATCTGCAGTCTCTCCATCCACTTTAATATTTTCTCAGCGTTATTTTCAAATACAAATACAAAGTTGTACCAATTTTCCAAATTTGTGATAGCTGAGAAAGAAAAAGGCACTTTCAGATCCTTTTCTTGTTAAAACATAGTTAACCAATTCCTACATTATTTTAAAGTTTCGTATAGCAAATCGTATACAGTTGTTAAATCTGGTATGTCTAATCAGTAAGCATGTAGTTTACAAAGTACAAAAAATTTTTAAAACTGCCCTGTGGCCTGGGCAGTTGTCTTTCCCAGTGCTGTGGTATCTTCCCAGGAAAATGTGGTTCTAGAAGATGGCATCCTCTGTACAGTGTGACATATGGCAAAAGGTAATACTCCTCTGCCATGCACTCCTTTTCATGGCTGCTCCCTTCCTGTGTGCCAGTCTAGGTATCCTCCCTTTTCTTGCAAGTTCCACTTGCTGTCCTTGTCTTCTTCTGCTGACACCCCTCGTTTTAAAAATGTGCATTTTGTTACAGTGCTATTTGCAATAGGAAGCTGTGGTTCTTTGTAACCATCAGTTCCAGCATACTTACCACATAGGCTTAAGCAGTCAAATAGCAAAACTTCACAAAAAGAAAAAAGCATAAACCTCAGAGTGGATGGAGCGAAAGAATTTTGATAAATGAAAATGGGAAGTATTTCAATTAAGTGCTCTTTTAAGAAGTATTTCAGTGCAGCTGAACCCTGATGGGAAGTTATCATGGTTTATACTGTTCTATCACAAAATGCCTCCTCCCCACCAGGGAGGTAGGTCAGGAAAAGGAAAGAAGATTCATGGGTTGAAATAGAAATATATTTAATAAAATAATAGTATTAATAATAACAATGTTAATATAAAATATGCAGGGTTATCCTCAGCCAATATTGTGGAGGAGTAGGCCTCAGGGTTAGGACAGTAAACAAGTCCCTCTGGAGATGTCAGCCATGGCAGAGGGAGGAAGAAGAAGGAAGGTGCAGGAGGCAAGAAGAGAAAGAAGAGAAAGGCCATCCTCAGCAAACTCCCCAATTTATAGTGAATGTGATGTTTATGGTATGGGATAATGGTCCTCTTGGGTCATCTGCCCTGCTTTTTGCTCATTCTAACTTCTGCACCTGGTTATCTCAAGACTGTTAAAGACCTTGATCATTATGGTAACCTGCATACCAGAATTAGCTGATTAGTTTTTATCACTTTGTTCCCAAGAAATAGTGTTGTAGTCTACAAAATCAGAGTTTTCCTCAACAGAAAACTGACTCTAAGATTCTGTCCCAAGAAACCAACACAGAAGTGAATCTCTTTTAAGCTCTCTCTGTTAAAAGTACTGCGCACTTTAACTTTAATTAAAGCTTTTCTGGAGAGCAGTCCTAGAGAACAGACCTATTCAGACTTAGGACTTCCTTTGTAAATCCATAGGCTGCTTCTCTAAGTTTATTTTGTAATGTGATAACTTTATCTGTCAAACTTCTTTTTGTCTTGCAGTAAGCCAAATTGTGCCCATAAATGTTGTGTTGTGGCAGAATGGACACTATTATTAAGTTGAATTATATAAACCTTGGATTGTGGATAGAGGCAATTCGATGAGCTCCTGACCTCCACTTACCTCTGATGCAGGTTCCCCCCGTGGTGCGGGTGTGGAACGAGCCAAGCTGCTGACAGCAGAGGGATCCAGGCTTCCTCTGTCTGCACTGCAAGGGAAAGCTCTGAATGCCTGTGAGGGGGATACCTCCCTTTGGTGTGTGTGTGCATGCACGGTTGTGCTCATGGGGGATTTTTAGGTCTCTGGTGTATTGTTAGGGTATGATAGTAACTACTTAAGTCTAAGAATTGCCATTATTAATAGTGGTTCTTGTTATTGTTGCTATAGCTAAGAAGATTAAGTATTTCAGTTATAAATTCCCTTTTTTTAATATCTTGTTATATATTTGCATTGTATGCTAATGGCTGAAGCGTGTAATAACTTCCTGAAAGATCTGAGACAGAAATACCATTTATGGGTCCTCCAGTTTTATTTAGTTTCTCTTTTCAATGATTTTACATTACTATGTAATTGGGAAAAAATATTATTGGCCTTTATGCTTCAATTTTTAAATTGACACACCATCAGTTCTTTTGTATCTTTATTAAAACATGAAAATTTTGTCATAGAAAGGTGACTAGTGGTCAGTTTCCATGAAGCGAGTTTGCTTTCAGGCTCCCAGTGTTAATCTGAACTCAGGGTAAAACATTTGGTTGAGGTACTGCATTGTTTATCCATACTGTCAGGTGTTATTACCTTGCCCTGCAGCCTTGAGTTTTCAAGTCCATACTGATGTTCTTTAGCAACTGACAGTCTTATAGTGAAGGTGCTAGGCTTCAAAGGTTTAACCAGCCTATGCTTGTATCTTTTTCATGTGTTCATTGGTTTTTATTTTTTTCTTGCACAGTCATGTTTGCATTCAAACTGTAAATCCTTCAGGTGTGTCATCGTAAGTTTATGTACTTGGATTTCAGTCACTCTTCTTGTGATGGTGCTCGTAACAAGAACTATCCTCAGACTGTTTAGGGATTCCTCAACTGGCTGTTGGAGGGCTAAAAGCATAATTTAGTGTTGGTAGCAAAGTAAAGTAGGTAGAGAAGGAAATTAAATGTAGTCACAGCTGGAGGAGGCAAGCAGTAACTACAAGGTCTCAATTTTGACCTCTGTTAGAGAAATATGAGGCCCTAGAAGGAAAAAGCAAGGAAGAAAAAAGTAAAAAAAGAGGAAATACATGAGAAAAGGGGCAGTCCTAATCCCATTTGAGATCTGAACCAAAAGGCAGTGGATTTAATATGAAGTAATACTCAGTTGCAGTGACAAACTGGCTGCACATTTCCAGAATTAAGATTGACGGATGCAGTAGTGACAGATGCAATAGTGGGAGAGCATTTTGACTCTGTGCATCTCATACTGTATCTGCACCAGCTTTCTCACTCACTTCCTCGAGTGACTGTAAGAGAAATGTTAATATAAACCTGGATAGGTTCTCAAAATAACATAGCAGTTTTTAAGTTCTGTACTTAACTGGTTGAACTTACACTTAAAGCACAATAAAGAAGACGGAAGTACTTCTGTGTTAACATGCAGCTGCAAAGTTTACAGTTCCTGACATGTTATGTTTATGATTTACTCTTTCTGAAATTGTAGTTTGCACTGATGATGCTATAGCATTACTAGTTTAAGAGCCACTGAGCAAGAAGACTGCAGGGGGCTACTCTCACATCTTGTTTATGGGTGAAGAAGAAACACATATTGT